ATCCATCGACAGCCCACGACCGGTTTCGCCCTTCTTGGGGCTCATCACGTGGGTACAGTCCCCGAGTTTCCGTCAACTTTATGTTCTGCTTGAAACTAAATCGCACGAACGTAGTGAAATACACTCATTGGCAAACAAATTTGATTTGGTGGGAGACTCACCTGGAACCCAGCTGAATCTCTCGTTTATGATGTCTTCAAGCGTGCTGTTAATGGCATCGTCTGACTTGACTGATCGATCTACCGTGATTTAGGCTTGTCAAGGTTATAATGACCTTCAGTAGAGGGATCATTACATCCGGAGGGGTTTGTGCTACCCCTTGTCCGACCTTACATGACCGATTTTTTCACAATTTCCTGCCTGGTGCACCGAATTCGTGTGGAGCTTCCATGTCTGCTATGCGGGGTGTTTTTATCGATTTTCGAAACGTCCTCATCAGAATCAGCGGTTAATGAGTTTTTCACATGATATCGACCGACTGCATACAGTCACCCAACATCCTAACAAAACAAAGGAGAGAAAGTAGTTGGCTGCCCGCTTCGTTCAGTTGTAACGCCTTTCATGTCACTTGAAGAGAGCACGAAGCTCAAGGCTGGCCAAGCCTAGACAGGAGCAGTCGAGATGCCGGGTTTGACTTCGTACCACAGACCTTCCGGTCACCAAGTTCTTGTCTTAACCAGGACCCTAATCGGAGCTTAGGTTTAATCAATCCCAGGCCGCAAATCTCAGTGTCTTATTTTTAAAACACGGGCTTTTTCAGTTTCGTAGAACCACCGGCCATAAAATGAGAAAACAAAGGAATCCTTAAGGTGTAGAATTTGATATATTTGCTACTAGATAGTTAGATTTATGGTCATTCCCAAGAGAGTTCACTCTCCGTGGAGGAATATTATCGATTCTACGCGGGGACTATTATCTTTGATGTTGGAAAATATGGTGAGAAATGGTCCCCCCAACTGGGAGCCTCTGTCTAGTGCCCTGCTTGAGTAACACTCAATTATGGTTTTCTTCCCAAAACTGCTCTGTCCTTTTTCAGAGAGATACAACGAATTTTTGAACTACATGGAAGATCAAAACTGTCCGGCAAAACCGCCCAAGGCCTTCTATAACGCATCCTGCGTAAGTATGATTCCTGTGGCGTTGGAAATGAACAAAGTGCCAATCATTGTTACCACGGTGATTGTACTTGCACTGGAGGTGAGTCAATGCTTTTTTCTTGTACCAGGTGTAACAGTGTTTTTGGGCCTCACGGGTTTTCAGCCCTTAACTCATTGTGGCCCAGAAACCAAGTCAGAATGGCCTCATTTGCTGTTACGCCTGTATTTTCAGACAGATTGTCTTAGCGGACCACGAAGGATCTGCAACCAAGTGTTGACTAAAACGGTCAGAACCGCTCAAACGGCCAGAAAAATAGTTGACCGGTGCTCAACCACGGGCTACTCAAAAAGCACTGCTTTCAAGTAGGCGCCGTTGTCCTTGTTGTTGACGCTCGTGAGGATGCTGACGATGCGATGTGGGCAGCCCCCCACAGTCACCACGGAACTTACGTGTCCATTATGGATCGAACCTCAGAGATCTATCGATCCAAGCAATTATTTCCAGCAAAAGATCGAAATAACGCGAAGTTTTAGTCAAGCTCTCATTCCGCGTTGCCTTGTTGCACAGGGCCTATTCGAGCAGCCGAACTGAGACATCTTCAGGTGTTCCGCAATCGTTGTCTCAGAACCATAGCTCATGTGGGTTGGTGTCCGCGAATCTGTAACGAGGCAGTTGGATGGCGCGCTCTCAGTTGTGCAACGGGTACTTCCATTGAAGAATGTGTCCAGCACCAGAAGCTGCGTTGGTTGGGACATGTGTTACGTATGCCTAACCATCGTTTGCCGAAGAGAGTACTGTTTTCCATGCCCAATCAAGAGTGGCGTAAACAGAGAGGTGGCCAACCCTTGACTTGGCAGAGGAGTATGAAGGAGATCACGAATAGCATGGGTGCTGTCGGTGCTACTCGCCTTCCAGGATGGGGACCGCGTGATCCTCCCTGTGCCTGGTTGTAGACACTACAAGATATGGCTACCAACCGATGTGAGTGGCGTTCTTGTAGTCAGTTTCTATCCAGATTGCCTGAGTGAATGTCTGAAGGTGTGGAGCACCTCGGAATGATTATGGTAAGCCAGCACCAAGTCCCTACCCCGTCCACCTTTTGCTCTTTTCTTTACAATAAGGCTTTTAAATAAATCCTGGTTGTACGGCAGTAAAGCATCGGTGTTGAACACTGATGTCATGCTGTCAATGATGATGATGATCATTCAAAGTTATAATTCAAAGCCTTCCTTTTTTTAAAAAAAATTTTTCTGTACTAGCGACGTTCACAGTCCGATTTGCTGATGTTCAAACTGTTGAAGCAGGGTTTTACGTATAGCTTTGAGCTTCCAGTTACTTTAGGAGCTGACTTATAGAAAATACCTTGTCGACAGCTTGGAAGTTCCCGTGACTGCATGAAATGTGCTCGTTGGCGTGAACGGCTTTGTAGCGTAACGAAGTCCATCCTGTCAGCATCAGAAACCGCTCCATTTCATACAACTCAGCACAACGGAACGGAGGTCCGGATAGATAGCCTACAGCTGGCGCACACGAGACTTTGACCCGATAATCTGTAATCTGATCGAAGTCCAGCGTTGTCTTGTTTTCCAACGACGTGCCACCTTGGTATTCCAGTGGATTTACCGATTAATTACGCTGCTTAGACGTGACAATTGCAGAATGATGCAGGTGAACCAACACCGAGTTGAGGACACGGAATCGACTCCGTGTTGCGGTTACTTATGGCACCGGCTGTCTTTTTAATAATAATAGTCGAATTGAATATTTTCACTGTAGTCTAGTAAGTATCATACGAAGTGGTATAAAGCTCACCATGGTTTCCGACCGAACTAGTCTGGTCGGCCTCAAACCAATGGCTGTCGGAAAGCTTCCCTTTGACTATTTTAGGTGAATGAACTCCGAGGAATTAAGCTCGAACCAGACAGCAGAAGCCATGGCTATTCAATTGCATCTGCGACAGAGTTGTTCAATCCAACAATTCGACCTTCCAAGAAGCTCGAATACCATGTGATGGGGCCACTTAAGTGTTCAGCCACGGTAGCCAGCTTTGTTCGATCTGCAGGTTGAAACGTTTTCATCTTTCTGGAGGTTAGAAGGAGCGAATTTACTGACCGGAAGGTCCGTGGGTCGAACTCGATCTCTGCCTCTCGAATTCCCCTCTGTCTAGGCTTGGGCAACCTGGCAGTATCCCAGCCCTCATGCAACCTTCGGGTGGCAGTTAGGCACCGAAAGGGTGCTAGAGCTGAACGATTCTTTTTCATGTTAAACGTATGTGATACTTTGCTTAGGCGATTCAACGTTGTCCGTGGCTTCCTGTCGCTGGCTGCACTATAAGTGGTGTTTATTGGACGATGAATCTGATTAGATCACGTGATAAGCACAACAACTTTGTGCGGATCGATGCCGCAATAGAGTTGGGCTAACAGTTCACAGTTCAGTCTTGTCACGTGGCTTGATTCCATTCACACAATCGATGAAATCATTTATCCGCTGTATGTCGGATCTGGTCTGGGTCTTAAGAATTCTCACAATAAATCAATGGGATAGTCAATTCCGATCGGACCGCATGAAAACGCTCGATTAAAACAAACCGACTGTTATCTCAGGAAATGTTGTCGACACTCTTGGTCTACGAAGCTGATGGAATTCTTGGAGGGTAACAATGAACACAAAAACACCGGCATCAGCAGTTCTGCCACTTGTGTGATCAGCTAAACGTAAAAGTCGTGGAGCACTTGAATTCACGGCTGATATTCGATGGGAACCTCACTACGGACCTCCACTCCTGTGCCACTCAAGCCTGGGATATGAATAGAGGCCGCTCATTCTTCTGCATTAGACGGTTGCGGTAAACGAAGGTAGACGAGAAAAAACTAGGTTTCACGCATCAACTGACATTGGCAGTTTGTACTGATGGTTACTACAGAACGGGCTGGCAACCCTCGCAGAAAGTGCACTTTAGTCCTTCTGACAGAGCTACGTTTATAAGGAATGCGTGATCGACATACGCTTGAGAATCGTAAAAGATACATCTACTCAGTGAAGCATACTCATTTACAAACAAATTCGGTTTTGCGGGATACTCACTTGGAACCCTTGAAGGCATCATGAACTGGATATTTCGCTGGGAGGTGAGTCTTCGAAAAAATAAACAAATTGGCTTGCAAACGAGTGTATTTCGCTAGTTTCGTGTAATATGGTTTCAAGTAGAACATAAGGTTGATGGAAACTCGAGGACTGCGCGCCTACCTGATGAGCCCCAAGAAGGGCGAAACCGGTCGTGGGCTGTTGAAGAGTTTTCAGCAACCTTGTAAGTAGCGCATTACGTCTGATGTATTGTGAGATCTCAGATATCGTACCAACTGGAACATGAGGCGGCCTATATGCAGCACATTCAGTTGCCTGAACACATCACAGACGAGAGATTCAGCTGGGTTCCAGGTGAGTCTCTCGAAAGGACCAAATCAGTTTCAGATGAGTGTATATTCGCTAATCTCGTGCAATTTGGTTTCAAGTAGAACATAAGTCGTACGACTTCGGCACTTAAGGTGTTCCAAGAAAAGCGAAACCGGTCGTGGGCTGTTGAAGAGTTTTCAGCAACCTGATGAGTAGTGCATTGCGTTTACATCCACTTATTCGTTCTCCTACCTCTTGAATGCACCAGTTAGACTGCACATGAACTGGTCTGCCGTGAAGCCCGCGTGTCTTCGGGAGACAAATGGTTGGCCATGTTCCAATGATGGCTTTAAT